ATAACGACATTCGTTGCAATGTAAACTTTTTGTGATTAATGTTTGTAAATAAAATCAACTAACTTATTATTTAGGAATCGCATTGCATATATTATTTGGTAATGATATTGTTAAAAAGGAAGAGCTAGTCGAGGCCGCAATATATAGGGCTAGGATGGCGATTCCCCTTAAAAAGGAACATTATCATAGTACACTCGCTCCCGAACTCATTTCAGGTTTAGTAGACCAATTTGGGCATGGGTAAACTTATGATTCATGCTAATTATCCCTTGAATTCTACTTAGGAGAAAGTTATGAACAAATGAGTTTTCCTAAAACACTTTGGTGACTCCCTATTAGTTTCTTACAAAAAAGCGTAATGATATATAGAATCAATTCAAATTCAAGGTCCCCCAAACACTCAGGAATTCAAAACTTGACATACCTTCAAAAGTATAAAGTCCTAGGCTTTTAAAGGGCCATGGGCATAGTGGAATTAGGATCCCCAACGACAGGCTACCCTCCTCACTGCTGTCACCAAGCTAGATCGCCACGACGGTTGAATGTGATAGCCTCTCCCAAGTTTGAGAAATTATTTGAACTTTTTAAATTTATAATGGAGGAAGGTGAGGGCTACATTGCTGACCGGGAAGGCATAAGGGTCATTGAAGTTGACCGCATTAGCTTCCTCGCCCGCTTGTTTAGCATCCGGGTTCTCGGCCTGTTGCTCGGCAACGTGTTGTTGCCGAACTAAATTCTAAGGATTCCATTGTGTCCAATTCAGCAGCTTCCGCAGAGTTGCCCTCAGGAACCATTGGGCCCTTTCCTTTGGTGCATCTCTTCTCCTTAGTGTCCGCCTAATTCCCTGAAGGAGGACTGCCACGAGGAGGCACGTCGGACGCATTAGCAACGTCCACCTGAACATTTGTTGAAGGCCTGTCAGAGATACGCAGCCCGGACGGCCTAGTTGAGCTAGTGTATTTTATTGAGAGTTGTTAGGGATTTTGGCCGGACGACCCTCTTCGGCAAGACCTAGAGTCCGCCGGGATTGTAGAAGGAGGCCTCTCAGAATATAGTAGCTCGGACGGCAACAAGCCCAAGCTGGTGTATCGTGAAGGCGTTGTTTCGAATTTTGGCCGAACACCCTGGCATCTTTTTCCTTAGTCTCTCTGGTCGAAGACCGGGAAAGGGGTTTTTGTTATGTGTTTTCCTCGGACGAGGTGGCAGTTACCTCCACCACTGAGCAGGCCCCCCACTAAAGTCCAGTCTGTGTCATCCACGTCCGTGTCATTTGGGTTCATAGGTACTAACGGGTTAATAGGTGTGCCGTCTGGAATTCTGGCAGCATCTTGGTCATTTCTAGCTCTCGTACGCGCCATGTTCAACTACAGGGACAGAGAAAAATAGGTGGGGGTGAGTTGGTACACACTAGAAATGGACCCACTCTAAAGAGAAGAGGAATCGTCTCCGCCATATCTAGACTCCTCAGTCCCAAGCGAACGGCCGACCTCATGAGGAGAGAAGTGATATACCAGTTCGTGTTTAATAGAAATAAAACAAGTATATGAAAAGAGAAAATCAAAGAAGAAACAGACAGTTACCTCGGTCGAAAAGAAAACTTGGAAAACTTTGAAGATCTAGAATGGTCAAGTCACAACCCTACAAGTTGACCGGCAAACACAAAGAACACGAATGGAAAACTCAAATTCACAGCAGAGCTCTCGAAGATTAGGGAGGAAAATCACTTTCTCTCTCTAAAAGCTTTGACTTCTCTCTAGAAAATGCAAAAATTCAAAGTGTTTTTATGAAGTCAAATGAGCCCATATATATTGGCAATTTTATGGGGGAAAAATGGTAAAATTACTTTTCCCGTCTCTGAGATCGAACGTCTCTTTTTCGAAAAATTTAACCTAGAAGCATAAACGGTTATTAAACCATTCCGTCAATTAAGACGGAGAAGGTGTACGGTTATCCAAACGACACGTCAAAACAAATGGCTGGGTCAACAAATTTAAACCGTTGGTCCGAAAAATAAGGAGGACAGGTCTCCCCCTTGATGTTAGGCGGCACCATTTTCCCGTCTGATTTCAAGACTTAAGTCCAAGATATAATTAGGCGGACATCCCAAGGCAATTAGCCCAAAGGGATGCTTCCCAAATTCAGGCAGACGGTACAGCCACCCCTTTCAACAAATTTGCTTAAAAAAGCTCAGTACCTGAACGTCACTAGACGAACAAAAATCAGAGGAAGCAACACGTATTGTACTACGCACCCCCTCTAAGGGGCAAATGCTTAGGGTAAAATTACCCTAACACGTGGTCCAATCCTAAGGTGACACGTGGCCCAATAAAAAGGACGACACATGTCCTAATAGGAAGATGACACGTGGAAAACCGTAACAGCACCTGAATGACAGAAGGTCTCCTTACATTAGTAGGCCCAATTCTAGAGAAAAGCGTTAAAACGACGCCTTCTTAGGACACTTGTCCTAACCCGATTGCGCCGCCAATCATCGCCCACCATTCTTGATCATAAAACCATAGAGGCAACACATTTCCACCCCTTTAAGTACCTTAATCATTAATGATGGGAGGGGTGGATTAAGACATATAATACAAAAAGGCATATTGATTGCTCTAACTTATCTCCACTTTCTCTCTCTAAATATTTTCGTTTTCCGATCACTAACTTTATCGTCGGAGGTGAATATTCTGTCAACCAAAGTATTCTTTGTTTTGCAGGTGTCTGTAGCCGTCTAGAAATATTCACGACCTGTATCCCGAGGGATTCCAAAAAGCACTGAAGCAAGATGCACATGACTTGAAGGCACTATAATCATCATCCACATCTTCTATTCGGAGACAATCGAACATCCCTTCACTTTGGAGGCAATCGAAGGCACATTTATCAACACTCAGTGATCATCCCGAGGTGCGAACAGTTACCATTCACACTCACATTGGAAGCTTCTCGAGGGGCAAAGGCTTGTAATCTTTCATCATCAGACATGTTTTCCCAAGGCGAGGAAAATGGTCAATCGTTGCATACTTCTCGAGGAGCAAAGGTCTGCAGTTGTGACCCTAGGCGCAAACACCCCTTTTTTAGTGTAATTCCCGAGGCGCGGACACCCCTTTTTTAGTGTAATTCTTGGGGCGCAGAATTCCAATTGTAAGCTACTCGAGGCATAGGAGTTCACAATAGGATTCCCGAGGGGCGGAATACTATCATTCATCATTCTTCCCAAGGCGCGGAATATCATTATTCAATAGATTGCTCGAGGCGTAGAAATCTACGACATGTTTCCCGAGGCACAGGAACTTGACACCTTTCATCTAGTGGATCACTCGAGGCGCAGTGATTCACGATAGAATTCCCGAGGCGCGAAAGACTATCATTCGACATCGGGTAGATTTCTCGAGGCGCAAAAAGCTACCAAATGTATTTGATGCCGATTAATAGGTGTCAGATACACATCTATTCTTTTACTCTTTTATCTGCGGAACTAACGCTTTTCTGCAGGTATTGGCGTACACAGAGTGATTTAGGATAACAGAACGTCTTAAGTTATTCTCCGTCCCAATCGACTACTTTGACTATCGTTTTCGAAACTTACGTTTCTACAAACTGATCAGTCAAAGTGGGGGCTTCTGAAGACATCTAAAAACGTGTCCCCAAAACCTAACCCGATGATGAACAATCTTTCACCACCATTATTGGTCGGGTAGAGTATTTAATCTTGGGAGTGCTTAAAATCCATATTCAATTGAAAATAGTTTACAGATTATTCCATACTTCAGCCCAAGTATATAATCAAGCATTGTCCAAATCTCAACCCAAATCATTTTAATCCATTTCATTAATTAATTGAGCCCGACTAATAAATAATAAAACCCTAAACCTAAAAATGAGTCCGGAATAACTAAAACAGGGGAAGAGCTGTGCACAAAGGTTTGAACCATGGGGACGGCACATAATTATCTCGTGTTTTGTTAAAACAAGATAAAAACGAATTTTAAGGAAGTATTCATAAAACACAAACGCCATGCCACGGCAAAATTACCGTGTCAGGCATTTCTTGCCGTGCCACAACATTTTGTTTGACCCGGTTTTATCTTTTTACGTGGTTTTGACTTTCAAAATGATAAAATATTGTACTACGCTACGGTATATGTACCGTGCCACGGCATTTTGCACCGTGCCACGACGCCCAATGCCGTGGCGCGGTGCACATTTCTTCTGCGGCGCCACATTTCTAGAGTTTCGGACCTCACCCCTCACATTTCCTCTCTAAATACGAGGCTGATTTCACAATTTCGGGGCACCAAATAATTCTCTTTTTCTCTCTTATTCTCTAACCTAAATACTTGTGTTCTCTATTCTCACAATTCATCCATTAAGCACTCCTCAGAGTCCGTACCTGATAATTCACTGTTGGCAAGTATGTTTTCTTTGATTTGTTTATTTCTGCTCTCAATTTCTAATTTCCTTAATGAATCTCAAATTTTCAATTTCATTGATCCGGGGAATCTGGAAAATTTGTGATTCTTTTGTTATGGTAACTTTTTGCTCTGTGTTGATGTGTACTCGATTGTAATAATGTGTCTTTGGTTAGAAAAGAAGAGAGTTGGCGCTCATTTAAGTAAGGATTTTAGGTATTTACACGTTTTATTCATGGAAAAGAGTGTCAGCAAGTTTTGAGAAGTTCCGTTTTGCTGTGTTGGACTCCGTTACTGGTGCCACACGAAAGTTTCGATTTTGGTCAGCCACACAAGACATACACTGTCATTTAATCTGTGGGATTTGTAGTTCACTGATAATGTGCACTGCACGGTTCACATACTAATCCATATCAATTCCAACTGGAGAAAGAAAGAAGCATTAACTAGACAAATTTTGATATTAATTGTCTTTCCAATAAAGCAGCCACAATAAAAATTTTATAAAAAATGTTGTACTAGTATAAGACATATATAAGACTACGTACTAGTGAAGCGTTATACTCCGTATCAATGCACAAGAAAGACTAGAAGTAGCTCTTCATCCAAAGGAAAATTATATGAATATGGCAATAATTTATAGTTTAACTAAAAGTTTTCAAAATCCCATTACCTTTGAACTTAAATTGAGCAAGGGCTCCAGTGTACTTGGAGCAAACTTGCGAGCAAAAAGGTAACATACAGTTGTACTCTTAAAATTATACAAACATTTTTTCTTATAATTTCTGATATTCTGTATAAAACCTTCTGTAATATTCTCTCTTACAAAGGTTGTGGGATGAGGTCCTCCCAAAGACCAATCTACCCAAGTCAAGGTGCGATTAGAATTAAGCGGAGCATGGAATATGTTGAGGTACGTAGCAATGTAATGCTCATCAGGAAAGCAAGGTGGATGGCAGTATTTCCTAAACAGATCATAGTACTTGTAATCTGATATAATTTCAATACCCAAATCTCGTCTAATCTCGAACCACTGAGCCCCTTTTCTCCATTGTTCTACCGTGATGTTGGGTCTCATATGTCGATCATAGCGGCCCCTGCCAAAACGGCTTGTATCATCATATGACTCCACAAAACTGTGTGCAGATTTAGTGAGATATTTGTAAACTGTTTGAAAATCGTAAACCGGGATACAACTTTCAGAGAGGAGCACAAAACGCTCATTTGAGAAGTCTAGGAGAGCATTGGCTAGAAGCCTCTTCTCTGCATCTGCTAGTGATACATCACCCCAAGAAACTTCCTGCATGTAAATTTAAATGAAATAATTTTATCATCTTTTTTTCAGATACTGCAGTATCAGTTCAGACTTCAGAGAAAAAGCTAATGAACATTAAAATCAAACAATATCTAGTTCATAGAAAAGAGATTAATTTGAACATAGTAATTGCACCTCAACGATTCATTACCATTCTATCTTAGTAACCAATCTGCAGTGCATATACTCAATCCTGAATTATTTGTAACCATACCATTTGAAAGTGTCAAAAAGAAAAAAAAAATGTCATTGTTTTAAAAAAACATTAAGGGTTTATGATCAAATTTTTTACATGCCATCAATTGAATCAAACAATGGGACAGAATCAAAATAACACAACTATAATAAACATTACAAAGAGCAGTTGAGCTATGCCTTCGGAACAGTTGTAGACTTTTTATACCTCATGTCTCCAAGATGAATTAATCAACAACAATAAAAAGTCTACAACTAAGCTAGTAAGGGTATGATTGAATTATATACAACATTAACACTAAATTTTTATTCTAGCATGATTGATGATATAATAAACCAATTCTAAGTTCTGCAAAACTGAGCTAAGCTCAATAAAATACATCATTCGTGTCTTTATAGTTGACACATTTATTTAGTCACGTTTGCCAACGCTAAAATTTGAATCATAATATCTTCAATTACAAAATAAAATAAAAAAATAAAAAAATAAAAAATAAAACCTAATAATTGTAATATACTTCCTCTGTTCTTTTATCGCGTTTGTCAATGCAAAACTTTAACGATCAATAACTTTAATTCTACATAAGCAAAAATTATAAAAGTTATATATTACTAAATATGATAATACTTATTGAGACGAATTCAAAAAGATCCCACATAAATATGTTTTTCCTGACATATTAGTCACATAATACGGCCAAAAGAGGGGTGGTGAATAGTATAAAAGTCAAAGCGGGTCAAGTAAAAAAGAACAGAGGAAATACATAATAATATGAATATAATAAGGCTTCATATGAATATATATTTTTTTTAGTATATATCAAAGTATTAAAGTAACTGTAGTGCTCAAAATCAAGATGTGTAGCTTAAAAAGGAACAAAGGAAAGTTAGGCAAAAATAATAACTCTATCAGTTAAGCAAAATTAAGCTAAGGAGAATGTACTCTTAGATAATTCATTTCCATAACATTCCACTTGGATACTTGGTTTACTGCATCAAATGATTGATAAATTAGACAAACTCTCTTCGTTTCCTCTTAAGAAAGCAACATGACATGGTCTACAGTTATCCAGATGCACAATTTAAGTAATATAGGAGTACAAGCTAGCTATCGTGAGCTAAGATGTGTGAAGAATTCCAAACTGATATACTCAGAAAAGATGCAGTCCTGTACTTCTACCGGGACATCTCTAATGAAATGATTCGAGTCAGAACCAGTCAACCAGATCCAGGGACTGAAAATCAAATTAATGAAATCATTATACCCTAGGTTGAGCAGCAGACCAGGTACGAGTGATCTGCAGTTCTGCACTTCTGCAGACACACTTATAAGGCCCTAGTTCATCTACATCTAACAACCACTGAACCAGGAGTAACCTTGGCTAGTATGTCCCCAAAAAAAATCACGATGCGACTTCAGTGGTAGCCTGGTAGGAGACATCCATGACAAACAAAGTTACCCCTACCTCTTACTGAAGGTGCTGTCTTAAAAAGGGCTGCACTCTTAAGTAATTTTTATAGTAGATTTTTTCAAGTGCTTGTAGTATATATTGTTTCCTTTACTTCTTAAATCATCTAGCTTAATAGGATCTAAAAAAGAAAAACAAAATCCTAACAATTACATTTCACTAACCAATATCTCATCAAAACAAATTACAGCTACTAAATCACCCTTAAAATGCAATCCTTCATTGCAATGTGATCACCCTTCAATAGCCAGAGCCAGAATTACTATCTAGTATCTACCTATTCCTCCATTACTCCATCAATTAAGATAACTCTTTGACTATCCAGAAATGCCATAATTTCCATAAATAGACAAGTACCATTGCTCATTTCAAGCAACCAGAATTCGTTATCAAACACAAAATTACTTCATTCCTTAGCAAAGAAACTAATCGCAAAGACTAAATTAATTCTTTTATCACTAAATTTTGATCCCCACAACATATAATAAATACAGTACTTGTTAATTTATACAACTAATTACTTTAATTAGAGATGTGTGAACATCATCTATCTTAGTTGTTAAAATTATTGACCAGGTCGAATCAAATCCCATCTACATCACTTTACAAACTTTAAAAACGTACCTTACTAGGAACTTGGCGGCCGAAGAAGACAGAATCTGGAGGCACATCGAACACAAATCCAGCTTGAGTATGCACGTAAATAGAAAAAAATCCATCATGTCCTGCAAAATACTTCTCCCACAAAGGCAACAATGGCAAAGGACCCCTTGTCAAGAACATAAAGGCAACTTTAGGTACCCTTTTAAAAGGGTAACCTACAACTTTAGGGACCAATGAAGCTCTCCATACCAACTCCTGATCAGATAGATCATGACTCAATTTCTTCGGATGAACTACATTATCTAAACGCAAACAATTAATATTCTCACAATTAGAATTTTGTTTGTTAAACGCACAATTATTATCATTCGTTGGATCGCCGCCACGAACGGCGGTGTAGATCTTTGTATAATTCTCAAGGCTAATCGTTGACCGTTGTGAGCTTGAAACTAAACCAGTAGCAACACCAGCAATAAATACCATTAAACATACTGCTAATCTTAATAAGTTTGTGGGTGCATATTTCTTCAAGTACCCATTATTTTGTTGTGCTGTTAACTTCTCTAATTCTTCCTTTTCTGCTTTGTTATTTCTCAACATCTTTTTTCTTTTGTGGGAATTATTGTTCATACCCAATCATGCTGGAGATAGATGCAGAGGGGAGTAGAAGAATTTCTTTGTTTTTTTTTTTAATATTTTTGGAAATTGGGTGGAATCTAAAGGGGTGAGCTGAACACGAAATTTTAGAACATGTGGAGCGTGGTTTTTAAATTAAAACAAAAATGGGATTAACAGTTAGCATTGGTTTAAATGTGGGTTTCCCACATGTGTTAACGTTTTCATCATAGTAGAAATTTAGAAAAGAAAAGTAGTTGGCAATATTTTCATTTTGGCTGGCGCTGTCCTATTGGTGCCATGGTAGCGTCAAATATTTTAATAGCATTTATTGTCTGCCGTTCTTATGGGTGTCTATAATTCGGATTAAAACCAAAATTCAATACAATTCAAATCAAATTATCAATTCGGATCGGATCTGAACTTTAAATCGGATCGAGTTTTTTGAAAAATTCGAATTTTCGGATTAGATCTGATAGATCCTAATTGGATCCAAATAAAATCGAAAACCGAATTATAAAATTAAGCTTGTATGAACATGGATTTCTTTGTTTTATGATTGGGCTTTTAAAATTTACCCCAAATACTTACTATCACATAAAATAAATGAAAGGAATGGTGTCCTTCCAACAAGTGTATTATTCCGATAGTGGGTTCAGAATTATTAGAAAGCTAATTATTCAATGAGGTCAAGTGATCGGAATGTCTAGGTGGAGGTCGCTTCCGATCAATAATATTAATGTACAATTAATATTACAACTTAATCTTGACTGAACCCTTCGAGTCACACCCCAATCGAGTAACCGATCCGAGGCGACGAATTAATCCAAAGGATTAGATTAATCATTAGAATATTACGTACAAAGACGTCGGATATCGAGCTTAGAGCGTCGAAACCGAGCGTCGTGATAAGACGAGAAATCAAGCAAACGACAAGTTCTAGCAAAGTCGTAGCCTTGCATTAGCCTAGCCATGCAAGTGCTAGGCTAGCATAGGGCACCAAAAGCATTGCATGGCTAGGCCGCAAGCCAAGCATGCATGTGCGTGTTAGGCTCGCAGGTCGAGCATGCTTGCGGGGTTGGTGCGCCAAGTCGCACGCACGCTAGCTCCACCATGCATGGTTGGGCTAGTCAAGGCCTTGGCGAAGGCATCAAGCAGCTGGCGCGCAAGGGCGAGCATCACCCCTCGCATGCAACACACCAGGTGGCTAGCGTAGCCCGCTGGCATCGCTAGCGAGGGATGCACCCAGCAGCAGCTTGCTAGCAAGCATGGTATGCGTGTTGGGCTGCTCGTACTCGTTGCTGAGCTAGCAGTCCGTATAGCGTGCGTGGCCTACTTGCTGTGCGCATGCATATGCGGGCTAGCTAGCAAGCCCAGCCATGGTGCTAAGTGCCAGCGAGGCAGCGTTGGCAGCCAAGGCAAGCTACAAGCCTGCTCATGCGTGGCCAGCTCATGCATGGTGGGCACCCGGTTTTTGGTGGATTACTTGGGAGCATGGGGAGTTTGGTCCCCCCCTTGTGGTCCTCACCTAACCCCCTTGCTCACCTCTTGACACTTGGCGTTTGTTGATTCACTTGCATTTTCAATTTGATTTTGAATTAAAATAAATTGAATAAAGTGCATTTTTACCAACTCTCCCACATTGATGGGAGATTGGAATTCAAGGCTCCGTTCCCTATAAATACCAATCATTTGGGATTGGGAAGGGACAATTGTGTTGTGAATTTTAAGGGATCTGCAAGAAGAGAATACCTTAATTCTAATACTCTAAGTTTCTTGGTCTAGCCCGGACTAACTTTCAGGGTCGGGGACTGTTCGGGTCGGGTCTCGAGGGTGAGAGCCGTTGGAGGCTTACGCATTTGCGGAGCTAACACTTTCAAGTACGAGCTCTAAAAGTAGCGAAGCACGCGTCAAGGGTATGATCGTCTTTCTCTCTCTCTCTTAGTTAATTAATTATGTGATTGTTAACTAATATGCTTGCTTAGTTATTTTAATTTGTGTGCGGATTTTGGGAGGGTTTCATTCCGCGTAGTGTTGGACACTACGAAACCTAACAGTGGTATCGGAGCTAGGATGCCAGCCGTATCCATTGGAACTCTTAGTTTGTCTTTGCCCTCTAGGCTTGTTCTAGAACTTGACAATTGTTATCATGTTCTAAGAGTTACCAAAAACATTATTTTAATTTCGGCGTTGGACGCCAAGGGATTTGAATCTCGGATAAAAGACAATTGTTGTTCGTTTTATTTTGATAGTGTTTTATTTGGTAAGGCACATTTAGAAAATGGTCTTTATGTGCTTTCTCTAGACAAAAAGGTTTATAATGTTGATGATAACCCCAAAAGAGCTAAGACCATTGAGTCGAATCTAACCTACTTGTGGCATTGTCGTCTTGGCCACATTAACATCAAACGCATCAAGAAACTTCTTCATAAAGGTATTCTTGACTCATTCGACTTAGAGTCATTCGAAAATTGCGAAGGATGTTTATTAGGCAAGATGATAAAGAAACCATTCTCCAAGTTAGGAGAAAGGGCTAGTGACTTATAGGGCCTTATACATACGGATGTATGTGGACCAATGAGTACACTCGCGAGGCATGGTTGTCGATATTTCATCACCTTCACGGACGACTTTAGTAGATATGGATTTGTCTACCTTATGTCGAACAAATCTGAATCTTTTGAGAAATTCAAAGAGTTTTAGAGCGAAGTGGAAAATCAGCTAGTCAAGAAAATTAAAGCACTTCGATCGAATCGAGGTGGCGAGTATTATAGCCACGAATTCAATGATCATCTGAAAGAAAATGGTATTCTCTCAGAATTGACACCTCCCGGAACTCTACAATGAAACGTAGTGTCTGAAAGGAGGAATCGAACCTTGTTAGACATGGTCTAATCAATGATGGGTCTTAGTGATCTTCCTATCTCTTTCTGGGACACGCACTTCTAACCGCGGCACTAAACCTGAACCGAGCTCCGCCAAAAGCTGTCTAAAAGACTCCATATGAATTATGGACGAAGAAACCTCCACGATTGTCTTTTCTTAATATTTGGGGTTGCGAAGAGTATGTCAAGAGATTAATTTCTGACAAACTTCACCCAAAATCAGACAAGTGTTTCTTTGTGAGATACCCAAAATAAACTAAGGGGTATTACTTCTACAACAAATCCGAGAACAAAGTGTTTGTTGCTCGTGATGGTGTCTTATTGGAGAAGGAACACCTTTCCAAAATGACAAGTGGGAGGAAAATCAAATTCGATGAAGTTCGAGAGGACGAGCAACAAAGTCAACCTGACAAAATTGACAATCAAAGTGCTTTAGAAGCAACTGTTGACATTGGTCAGAGTTAAACCGACAATGTGCAAAGTCAAACCGACAATGCAAATGCTCAACCTATTACCCTGCGTAGGTAGCAACGACCAGGATCTCAACCAGACAGATACCTCAGTGTTGTCTTAACCAAAGATCAAGACATCCTAATTATGGATGGAGATGAGCCAGCGTTGTACAAACAAGTTATGACGAGCCCCGACTCTACAAAATGGTAAGAGGCCATGAAATCCGAGATGGACTCCATGTTTGAAAATCAAGTCTGGGACTTGGTTGATTTGCCCGAAGGTTATACACCTATCGGTTGCAAATGGATTTTCAAGTTGAAAACCGACAAAGATGGAAATGTATCTATATAAAAAGATAGATTGGTGGCAAAAGGTTACAGGCAAATTCACGGCGTTGATTATGATGAAACCTTTTCGCCAGTCACCATACTTAAGTCCGTCCAGATTATCCTAGCAATTCCAGCATATTATGATTATGAAATATGGAAAATGGATGTCAAAACCGCCTTCCTTAATGGGATTTTGGAAGAAACTTTACACATGACACATCCTGAAGGTTTTGTTAATCCAAGCAATGCTGAAAGGTATGCAAGCTTAAGAAGTCCATTTATGGATTAAAGCATGCATCATAAGTTGGAATCTGCGATTCGATGAAGCCACAATAAGTTTGGTTTTATCAAAAATCCAGATGAATCTTATGTTTACAAGAAGGTCAGTGGGAGTGACATCGCATTCCTCGTCTTATATGTCGATGACATATTGGTCATTGGAAATAGCATTCCAATGTTAGAGTCCGTAAAGGCCTTGCTTGGAAAGTGTTTTTCAACGAAGGATTTAGGAGAGGCACAATACATATTGGGCATCAAGATCTATCGAGATAGATCTAAAAATATGATTGGATTGAGCCAAAGTACTTATATTGATAAGGTACTGGCACGATTCAACATGGAAAGGGCCAAGAGAGGGCACCTACCCATGTCACATGGCATAACTCTCAGCAAGAAGCAATGTCCACAGACACCTGATGAGCGAGTGAGGATGAATAAGATCTCATATGCCTTGCTTATTCGATCGATCATGTGTGCCATGATATGTACTAGGATGGATGTATCGTACGCCTTGAGTGCTACGAGCTGATACTAATCAGCCCCAGGAGAGACGCATTGGACTGCGGCCAAGAATATCCTAAAGTACCTGAAAAGGAACAAGGATAAATTCCTGGTTTATGGTGGAAGTAATGATTTGGTTGTTGAAGGTTATACCAACGCAAGCTTCTAGACTAACAGAGATGACTCCAAGTCGCAGTCAGGATACATATTCTTTCTAAATGGAGGAGCGTTTAGTTGGAGGAGTGCTAAGAAAAGCACAACTGCAGATTCTACAACTGAAGCCGAAAACTTGGTAGCTTCAGAAGCAGCTAAGGAGGCAGTTTGGATTCGCAAGTTCATTGGTGAACTTGATGTTGTACCTTCAATCAAGGGTCTGATAGACCTCTATTGTGATAACAATGGAGCTATTTCTCAGGCCAAGGAGCCAAGGGAACATCAGAAGGTCAAACATGTCAAGAGGCAATTTCATATGATAAGGGATTGGAAGTCCGAGGGTGAAATCAGAATTTGTAAGATTGGAACAGACAGAAATTTAGCCGATCCACTCACTAAACCTTTGCCTCAAGTGAAACACAACAAGCACGTTGAGGCAATGGGAATTAGGCATGTTGGAGACTGGCTTTGATTTCCCTATTCATGTGTTTTAATTAAATTTGAGGCTTTAATGTAAAACACTATGTTAAACCATTCATTTTTGGAGTAATTTAATTTTTCTGCAAAATTATTGTCGCTCCATTTCTATTTTATTGTGGTTTAGAATTAAATAATGAGTCCACTCGATTTATGCGAATATTCAAAACAGGGTATCAAGACCATGTCTTGGATAAAGAAACACCTGTTAAGTGAACATTGAATATTTCAATCGAAAATTATCCCTAATCAAGGTCATTTAAATAGTGGACGATTAATGACCAATTGAGATTAGTGTGTAGTATG